CTACGATCTACGAGTTCCTGGCCAAGAAGTTCCCCGAGAAGGTGGACCCGAAGGTGCACGAGCAGTTCCTGACTGCCAACACGCAGCAGGGCAAGGTGATCGGTGAGAACGCCAAGACGAACGAGCTGTGCAACCAGACTCTGGAGATCTTCGTGGGTGCGTATGGCCGTGAGGCTGGTAACGCGATGCTCAAGTATCTGCCTCGCGGTGGCTTCTACATCACGGGTGGTCTGGCCCCCAAGAACCTGGACTACTTCACTAAGAAGGACATTTTCCTCAAGTCTCTGTTCGACAAGGGTCGTGTGAGCCCTGCACTTAAGGCTTGCCCCATCTACTTGGTGCTTACGGAGGAGCTTGGCGAGCGCGGCGCTCACTTCTACGCGTACCAGTTGCTGCACTCGAACGCGTAAGCTCGTCGCATCGCGAGCAAGTAGACGTGGGTGTGGTCTCCACGTGTAGGACAGTGCAGTAGTGTTTTCAGGTTTTGCCATCGATTTGTAAGAAATTTGCTTTCGTATTAACTCGAGCTTTTTTTTTTTTTTCACTCTATCGTTGGGATAATCGGTAGTTTTTCGCGTACTAAGTGTGGGCTAGGACGATGCAACTTGCAACTGGCATGTTTCCCAGTTGGCAAATTGCCCTTGGCAAACTGGCGGTTGCCAAGGTTGTCAATCTTGGTCTGATAATGCGATACGCAACTTTAGTGGCTGATTCCTGCTTTTGTTTGCTGTAATGTTGCTCTAAGAGATCTTGAAGTGACTTCTCATTTTCCGATTCTCCCGGCAGCCCCCAAAAAAGGATCGTTTCTAAAAGCTTCATGTCGTACGTCCTAGCTATCCCTTATATATAATCCCGCATCCTCTAACTCTTTATTTACTTAGAGGCGACCTCATTATCTCCGGAGACTGCGGCGGCACCAACACGCGGCTGACGCTATGGCTCATTCCCAGGGGCTCTGTTGCCTTCACCGGCTCCGTCGCTCCCGGAGAGATCACGTTCGCCAGAAAGTACCATAACGAGGATTACGGGAGCTTCTCGGAAGTCTGCCACCTCTTCATGAAGGAGGCCCGGATGCGGGACAGACTGCCTGTGGCTTGCGTGCTCGCTTGCGCCGGTCCGATCCTAAACAACACCGTCGAGTACGAATCCTAGATACCACATACGCTATTTTTAGAGTATCCCATTATTTAGAAATGACCCTAACAGTAAACTCTATTCTGGTTACAGATTCACCAACATCAAACATGGTTGGAAGATCGACGGTCCTGGGCTGGAGAAAGAGCTGGGAATCACCACTGTAAAGCTCATTAACGACTTTGCCGCTATGGGTTACGGTCTCCTCACCCTAAAGCCTCATGAGTACATTGTACTCAACGAAGCTGAAAAAGAAGAGGGGATGCCTATTGCCACAATCGGAGCTGGTACTGGACTGGGAGAGTGTTACCTCACAGCCGATAAAGACGGCAACTACTCGTGCTTCGCGTGTGAAGGCGGCCACACGGATTTCGCCCCGGCCGATGAGATCGAAATCGAGCTGTACAATTCCATTAAAGAGGAATTGGGCTGCAATCGACGCTTTTCAGTCGAACGCATCGTCAGTGGCCCGGGGTTGGCCAATATTTACCGGTTCTTGGCCAAAAAATTCCCCGATAAAGTGGATAAAAAAGTACACGAGGCCTTCGTGCGTGCCAAGGCGCTACAGGGCAAGATCGTGGGCGATAATGCCAAGACGAACGAACTGTGCAACCAAGCCATGGAGATCTTCGTCGAGTACGTATAATTGTTTTATTGTTGAAATTTTTTTTTAGTGCTAATTTTATTTTCTATTTAGTGCGTATGGTCGCGAAGCTGGATGTGCCATGCTGAAATATCTGCCACGTGGTGGATTTTACATCACGGGTGGGCTAGCGCCGAAGAATCTGGATTATTTCACGCAGAAGGATATTTTCCTTAAGGCGTGTTTTAACAAAGGTCGAGTGAGTCCGGCCTTGAAGGCCATCCCGATCTACCTCGTACTCACGGAAGATCTGGGCGAGCGTGGGGCGCACTACTACGCGTATCAATTGCTGCAAACGTACAACAACAGCTTGTTGGGCAACATCATCCAGCGTGAACGTGTGCAGCGGAAGTTCGCGACGATGGACCACTTGGCGCTCTACTCGACTATCGGGGCTGTGGGGGTGGCTGCGGGTGTCGTGCTCGGAAATTTACTGCGAAAGTAAAATACCCAATGTCAAGTTTTGCAATGCATTTAGCAAAACTTTGAGGGTATTGAAAAAGTTGAGAAAAATATTCCTTTTTCATTAAGAAAGAATCTGAAAAGGTTTTTTTTAGTCGCGTTGGTTATTGGATTCTGGCTCGAGATAAAGTCCTTGTTCCTTCAGAAGATCGAACACTTCGGAGCCTTCGAGCATCCGTTTATTCTCCACAGCTTCCCGCATGGCTCGTTTGAATGCTCGTACGTGGCTTTTTAACTCTGCTACCTCTTTTTCCAATGATAAATGCAGCTTTTTACGCTGTTCCAGTTCTCGATGAGTCGCATACACATTCTCCGTGACTCCATACAGTTTGCGTCGGACTTTGTACTGGTTACTGATGATCTCATCTGCGTTCGCCCAGACTGTGGCGCATTCCCGTTTCAGCTTGCGGACAGCTCGTTCTTCCAGTGTTCGATGTGCTTCGTATTTTTCCTTAAGTTGCGTTAAGATTTCCTTCTCTCGGGGCAATTTAGCTCGACGGTAAAGCTCATCCATCGGGTTACGTCGAGCTTCCAGTCTGCCTAGAAGAGACCGATCATACTGCTCTTTGGCCTTGAGAGCAGCGACAGCTTTACTGATTTCAAATAGTTTTCGAGCTTGTCGAGATCGATAAATATTCTGAAGTTTGGAGGCTGCACTGGTTTTCGCCTGGAAAATCCGAGCAAAGCGTTTCCGACCAATTCGACCTCGATATATTCTCTGGATAACTTGTGCAGCCTGAAGACAGCGTTGTCGATGGTGTTCTGCCTTAAAATACAGTCGACCTTGGTATCCTCGAAAAATACGCTGAATTTCTTTAACTGCGTGAATTTTCGCTTCTCGTTTGCGACTTAGTAGAAGTTTCTTGATCCACTCTTTCATGTATCGCTGGATACACTGCACGGCTAGAAAATGTCTCCATTTCCTGATTTTCAGCATTTTTCGACGAGCTAACACACTTCGAATCCAGTGTTGAATGCATAGTACAGCGCCTTTGTGGATAAACTTTCGTCTAAGTAAAGCTTGCGTCGCATTTTGACCTTTTCGTGCATATTTAGCATTGCGAATTTTACGAAACAGTAGTGCTCGCTTACGTCCCAGCATGCCACGATAACATCGTTGG